TGATCGAAATAATTGATAAGAATTTGAAATTGGATAGATTTAATTGGAAAATTTTGTGATATTTTTTTGAAATTTAAAATTTTTTTTTTTACACTGAAAAAATGTTTAATCATTTGCTAATTGATAAAATGCTTATTTTGTATCAAATATTATTAATATTTATATTGCTTTATGTAAAATGAAAATATATTAAATTTTTCACTTTTATTATTTCTCTATAACATTTTGATGTGAAATGAAATTTTAACTTCAATAAAATAACAGGTAAATGTTGTAAAACTTGCAAAAATGAAAGTAACTAATGAAATTACTATTTTATGATTATTTCTTTTCTGAATCAAAATTTTCCTCGCTATTGAATTATTTATTTTATTCGTTTACAATTTAGATTTATTACTTAGTAATTTCAATATCAAGAAATAACATTTATTCCTATTATTCATACCTGTTTGTCATCTCAGTATCAGTACTATTTACTTCATTTGAAAAATAATAATATTTCTATTTTGTATGGATGCGAAGATATCTTTCATCTAGAAATTATCACTTTGTAATTATTCCAAATATCAGAATTACTCAAATTTTAATATTAAATTTTCGGAGAAAAATCATTACTTCATAAACAAAGAAAATCGAAAAACTACATATAATGAGAATATTATTTTTAATTTGCTGAAAAAAAAAATTAATTCTGTGATAAACGCTGTAAAATTAGCACATAAAAGAAATTTTGATTCATTGTTTCAGTTTGAGTTGTTAATTTTTAAATTTCATAAAAGATGAGCATAATTATGTATTTACTAAAATTACTGAAAAATTTTAACATGACCGGAAGTCAAAATGACCGGAAGCAATTATCTTTCCATGGTTGAACTTTTCTTTGATAACAATGATGATTACTAAATAACCACCTTGTATTTAATTACAGTACGTATCTTCATCTTTTATTGGAAATGAAAGTATAAGAGGATTATCACGTGAGGTCAGTATAAGAGGATTATCACGTGAGGTCATACATCATCACGTAAGGTCAGATTTAACACTTTTCGAGAAGGACAATTACTGGAAAGCACTAGCATCAATCATAGAACATAATTGATGTACAATATTATCCTTCATTAAATTATCTGCAATGATAGCCAGATGTCGCTTTGGATCAAAATGACCAACTTTTTTTGCTTCAATTTCAGCTTTTGATAATCCGGTTGACTTCTCCGTTTTATTTTCTGTTCCTTTTTCATTACTATATGGTTTTTTCAGCATGCATAATTCCTGATTTTAAAGAAAAAAAAAAGAAGGAATTATAATTTTAAATGAATATAAACTAATTTCAATGCAAATGCAAAAATATGAAAATTAAACTCCGAAGCGTTTCACAAAAGATATATTCATGTCTAATTAAAAATACGAAGATTACAATAGAAAAGTTAAAATTCTCACTACTAATTTCATAGAGAATATTTTTTGTTTAATTTTAGAAATTTCATAAGTAACAAAGATAAGAAATTGAAATATTTAGTAACTATATTTCATAATGAAATGTGAGTTCACAAGGTTTAAATATTTAAAATTGAGATTTTTTCTAAATGTTTTGGCTTATCACAACGAAGAATGAATTTATCTCGAAAAAACCTAAACTTTATTTTATGCATTAGCCCTTTGAAACAATACTAGTACTCATATTGCTAAATTCTTCACCAAATCTTACTAATTTCTTATTCAACAATAAGTTATAAATCAATCCTGAATCCATTTAAGTACAATTTTTTGGTTAATACTTTTCCTTTTTTAAAATAACTTTATTATATTTCTAATAAATTTATTAAATTACTTTGTTATAAAGTTTGATCAATTTAACCATTTGTTCCATATTTGCTAAATTATTTTGTGCTGTACTCTCGAAACTATTCAACTGTAATCCTTCAGCCCAATTTTTCATATGCAAACTTTCTAGCATTTGCTGCTCTTTGATTGTTAACTTGAAGTTTATTGTTATTGAATAATAACTAAAATTTTTTTTTTTAAGAAAAAAAGACCAAAATTTTTTTAAATGCTAAATAATTAAATTGAAAGAGTGTACTAAATGAGATGGTTTGATATTGTAAATAAAATTCAGATAATTAAATATAAACATTAAATATATAAACAAAATGAAGTGCATTCTAATCGAAAGAACTTTCTGATTTAAATTATTCGTCATTTTTTGAACAGTTAACCATTTAAACCATCTAAAATTTTTTCAAGAACGTGTGAAATTTAAAAGAAAAATTTAAACTTTTAATTTAATCTGATGAAAAAAAAAAAAAAAGAAACGAATGAGAAATTGTTATTGAATAATAGGTAAAATTTAAAATGAGAAATGAAAAAAAAACCTTTTGCCAAGTCCATGAACTTGCTCAACAATAGAATGTTTCACCAAATGTCCCAAATTAGAAGTGGTTTGTCGTGATTCTTGAGTAGGTGCCAGTGTCTTTTGTGAACTTTCCAAAAAACTGAATTCCAAAGTATTCGGTCCGATTGTACGAAAAGCATCAATTACTACCTGAAGGTAATAATAATTGGAGTATAATCAATCAATACTGATCATATATTTCAGTATTGATCATTTATTTCAATATTTTAATGATGGAAGGATAAATTTAAAAAATGCTTACCTTTCCTTTGACTGATTGTATTGGATCAATAACGATTGCAACAGCACGATCACTTAACGCTTCAAAACTTCGTTGTGTAGCAATATCAACACCGGATAACCAACAACCAAATCCGGGATGTGAATGGTACCAACCAACAACCATTTCACCTCGTCCCGTACGATTTAACATATCCAGCATTTTAGTTTGATATACCGGATCGACTGCTTCCACAGATACACCCTAAAATTTACACAGTAAAAATTGATTATTGAAAGAATTGTTTTTTTTTTTAAAGTTTATTTCAACATTTGTTTCTTTTCAATTTTGAAAAAGCCACCCAAAAGCGATTAATAGCTGAATCAAAGACATACTGTAATTGTTTCAATAATAAATTTAGAACTTACAGAAATAGCAAATCTTTTTTTTGTTCTCCCAAAATTCTCTTCAAATTTTTATACTTTATTTAATCATTTCCTTAACAAAACTAATCTCAATTCTCATTCTTTAGTATCCTCATTCCAGGATTCTTCTACTTTACTTTTCTTCTACATCTTTCATGCAGTGTTTTTTTTTTTACAAAAAATATTTTATTTCGTACCGTTCCGGATTGTGGCATAGCAAATACATCAACAACATTAATCGTAAAATCATCAACAAATTCGCCCAGCATTAAACCCATGACCTAAAAATTTCGCTACAATTACAGCTAATAAAAATTACCCAACAAATTTTTTTTTGTATAATTTTTAATATAATTTTTTTTTTTTTGAATTGTTATTGACTGAATGTTAAAGTGTATTTAAATTTATAATGAAATTAAATATTTGATAAGCATTAGCTGAAATCTTTTTACAGTCAATTCCAATGCTATTAAAACGTTTAACAATTTCTATTTTAAATCTTTTCTCATCATACATCTACATTTAGTATTATCGCTAATTAATGTAATATTTTTGATTCTACTAATTAATTATTACTCATTTCATCAAAAAAAAAAAATTTGATTATCCAACTGATAACAAAATTAATCATTCTCTTATCTCAAATGATTTTACATCATTTCTCATTTCTTAATAGTACAAATGAAAGTTCAAAAAAAAAAAAAAAAAGTTATTTAAAAAAAAATAACAATTTCATTTTACCTCCATAGGAACACCAGCTCGACCATGTCGAAGCATTTTAAGAAGAGCAAGTGACGAGACATAAACAATTTCACCGGTATCTGGATGCTTTAGTATATCCTGTGGTGTTGTTTTCGGTAGCTAAACATAAAAAGTTGACATTATTCAGAATTATTTGTTATTTTCAGTTCAAAAATGCAAATACTAAACTTATAATCCAATTGATAAATTGAAATACTTTTTTTTTTCTAATTTCTTTAAAAGTTTCACCGTTTAATTACAATTATTTTGTAAATATTCAAATTGAATTGAAGAAAACAATAATTTTATCAATTTGAGATATCACAATTAAATTATCAAAGCTACACGTGAAGTTTATAAGTTTGACGTATTTTCTATACCGAACTTATGATTATACGTGTATAACGTGTATACAGTTCTAGCAAAAAATTAGATTAGAATTGTATTGTTGACATTACGTAAAATATTTTAACATACATTATTAAAACCGGTTAAACGAAGCAACCGTTCCATGTTGCTTAGAAAAATTAATTTGAGTGACAATTATCATTTTGAAGTAATTTATAATTATTCTTATTACAGTTTTCAAATATCGAAATTGAAAGTTTAAAAAAAAATTCAGAATCAATAATTATTTTTATTTGCATCAAATGAGTTGAATGAAGCAATTTAGAAATTTCATTTCGTGCACCTGCGTGTAAGTAGTGCACGCTGATAGTGTGGTTTGAAGAGTAAATTCAGGAAATTTTTGCACATTGCAGATTGTTTCACGTAATCGGTGGTAAGGTTTTCTCTACCGGATTGTATTCCTGATAAGCTGAAAGGATATACAACCATTTCCGGAATGCTTTGTTATGGATCATCGCTTTAGTATAGTGGTAGTTCATCTTTTACTCAAATTATTGCAGCCACATGTTGTTTCCAGTTGTGATCATGCGGCATGTACTACACGTAGTTCTATTTTACGCACGTGACTAATGCAATACGTAGGCAACGTCTTGTCTAGTAATTATAGCACATAATTGCAGACATGTATTACACGTAGTTATATTTTACGCATGTGACTAATGTAATGAGTAAGCAACGTCTTATCTAGTAATTATATCACGTAATTGCATCATTTCTTAATTTCTCTGCATGAATTTTACACAAAATTTCAGCTTTAGTCAGCAATTTACTGTATAATTGTCGATGCGTGATTAGTTATCACATACGACGGCGGATGGACACAACGCCTGTGACGTTCGAAACTTTTGCAAAAGCATATGAATGTATCCTGGAATGTGTTGAAGATGAATTTGGTAAACGAAAAAAGCATTTAACAGCTAATGATCTCAAGCACGTTGTTATAATCCATAGAACATTGACAAATCGCGGTTTACATCTCTCTCGAATTGGGTATCAATTAAATTTTATCATTTTATGTTATCTAATGGGAATTCTTGCTTTTTGCGAAGTATAAAGAATGGAAATTTAGACAAAGCATTTTAGAATTTCTCGATGTTAAAAGTTACATTTTGCCCGATATTTTGCAAAGATATCTAAAAATGTTACCATAATGAAAAGTTAGTTTTTAGAGATAGCATATTAACTGAAATAGTTGATTCATTATTATGCGAATGGGAAGAATCAGCGCCACCATCAGTAGCAGTACAGCAGCTTGTTTCACTTCTCTCCAGGCCTATTATTAAGGTAGTTGCATTTTATGAGAATTGAAATTTTATTCATTCAGTAAAAATGTGAGTAATAAATCCGATCTCGAACATAGTTAGATTTGTCTTGAAATGTTTGTCTTCGTTACTGGCCAATTATCGAGACTAAATTTTATTGAGTGGTCAAGACTCTTTTTTTCTTTTTGTCGTTATTATTTCCAATTGTAGAGCTTATTCTCCGTATATGATATAACTTCAAATCGCACCTATTTGCCACAATTACCAGAAATACCGTACGAGGTTGATGACGATGATGGTATTGCTATTAAACTGGTTCGATTGGTAAAAGGTAATGAAGCTCTTGGTGCAACTATAAAATGTGATACTGATGGAAAAGTGTATATTGCCCGTGTTATAGCTGGTGGAGTAGCTGATCGTAGCGGCAATATTCAGGTTTTCATTTTGAAAGCTTGTATTATCTTAAACGGTTTCATTTTTAATAGTGTTTTCTCTGGTCACTTTTTTGAATTTATCTCATACAACACAAAAAACATATGAAAATAAATTTCCGTACTGCATCATTATTCTTGGCATATAGTCGATAAAATGCTGTTGGTATGATAGAATAAAACGTTTGAATATCATAGATTTTTAATTCGTTCTATATTTGCATTGGGATTGGTTTATTAGCAGAGGAGCTCTAAACAAAAAAAAAATATGGCTGATAAGAGTTACCGTGATTTATCTGGTTTTTTCCTTGGAGAAACTTGGTATTTTTACTATTTTTAAACTTTGAAGGTTGGAGATCGGGTTTTGGAAGTGAACGGTGTCTCTGTTACGGGCATGAGTCCAAATGAAATCGTCAAATTGTTAGGTAACGAAAACAATGAAAACGGCACAGTCACTTTCAAATTAGAACCTGCTGAAATACCTGCAGCTGTTGTATGGAATGAATCGCGACACGTTCGTGCTTTGGTAACGTTCATGTCTATATTCATTTACATTTTTTATTTAGCATCTATTATTGTGTTTATTGAAAAGAATTATTAACACTGTTTTGTTGTACGTTCATGATTAATGGAGAAAAATTAAGATTTTAATGTATTCTGACATAAGATTTTAAATGTTGCAGCAGATGATTTGAGTATAGCTTTTAATTACAGATCGATTATTCTGGTAGCCGGGACTCCTTACATCCTTGTCCAGAAGCAGCTCTTTGTTTTACCCGAGGGGAAATATTGGAATTAGTAGTAACAGGTGATGAACATTGGTGGCAGGCACGTTCACTCGGACATGGCTCATTTGCGACACTACCATTAGCATCCGCTGGTTAGGTTCATCACGCATATAGTTTTTGTTTAATTAAATCTGTTGCTGTTATTGCTTGTAGTATTTTTGATATTTTTCATGCAGTATTTTCTATTAAACAAAGTAGAGAATGGAGTGTATTTGTTCCAGTTAATCAGCTTAAAAAACGAGTAGGTGTCATTCCATCGGAAGAATTGCAACAAAAACATCGCACTTTAAGGGAGAATGAAAAGTCCAGGATTGGAACTCGAAAGTTTCTGAAAACTGGCAATGAGGTTTCTTTTTTTTTCTATCAAACTTTGTAAGTGTTGATATTTTTGCAGTTTATTCTTTTGTCATCGACGCAACTTCAATTCCTTTTTTTTTTTTTTAACTCACATAATATTATGTTAACTATTAAGTTTTGAAATTTTAGTTGTCAGATTTATTTCTTTTCGAAATCAATAATTTCTGCTTTTCAATCATCCTTGATATTTTGTTCGTTCTTAGTCTAAATTTATCTTAGTATTTTTTATATGTTTTTTCTTTTTTCAGATTGATAGTTTATTGTATGAATCAGTATCATTACTATATCCGAAGCAGTCTCTTATCCGGCCAATCGTTTTAATCGGACCCCCGGGTGTTGGACGTAATGAACTTAAAAAGCGACTAATTGCCATCAACAGTGATCGTTATGCTACAAGTGTACCTCATACCAGTCGTCCTCGACGGTATATTTTTTTTCAATTATAAATCATAAACATTTTCTTGACAGTTCATTGGCGACATTTAAGGATACAGTGAAAATTTTCAGTAAGTTGTTTAACTAAAATGAGCATTGTTCTAAGCACTAAGACTGAGTTTCTGAAATCGTTTCTAACTTCATCCAGCTTTTGATTTAGATTGTTTTTGTTTCGCATTTCCGATTGCATATTCGCTATGACTATCATTCGTTGAAATGAAACTATGGAAATGATTAGTCAGTATTGTTTGATTCATTTTTATTTAAATTAAATAAGAACTGTAAGGGAACAGAAACTACTGATTAAGAAATTCATGAAATAAAACGACCAACAATCAGCAATAGATTGCAGTTCACATGAAAAAGATGGTATTGATTACCATTTTGCTAAACGTGACAGCATGGAACACTGGATAAGACAAGGACGATTCTTAGAATATGGAGAATATAAAGGAAATTTATATGGTACACTTGCTGATTCGGTTCATGCTGTTATCAAACAAGGTATGATGTTAGTAATGAATGATCCATATTTTTATTTAAAAAAAAAAAAAAAATGGGAAAAGAATTTAAATAGAACATTGTCATTATTATTACTTTAATTCATTTTCAGGTCGCATACCTGTTCTGAATACACATCCTTTGGCATTACGGATTTTGCGCTCGAAAGTGTTCAAATCTTTCGTTATTTTTGTTAAACCACCGCCATTTGATATTTTAAAGGTATTTGGCAGCATGAAACTACTTTTGACTAATTTTTATTTGGATTTGCTTCAGGACATGATTACTATAAATAATTGGACAGGGTGTTCCGACTGTAATGTATGAGTTTTCGTAAATTTTATTCTAATGCTTTTTCTTCATTAACTTGTTGATAATCTTAGGAATATTATGAGTGTTAAAGTTACTTTCTAGGAAACTCGACGTCAGCATCGTGCACGAAACTTGCAAGCTACAGATTCTGGTCATCATGGTACATCAACACCAATATCAGTTCGCGGATTTACAGATTCAGAATTTGAACAAATGATCTCAGCTGGTGAACAGCTTTTTCAGATCTATGGACATATGTTTGATCATGTGTTGACAAATGCTAATTTCGAGGCTTCATTTGAGCAATTACGAAACATAGTAAATAAATTAGAGCATGAACCAACATGGGTACCTTCCGATTGGGTCGATTAATAAAATAAGAAGTATATGTCAACATCTTGCCAATTCGTAGCACATGTTGTGGGGTTATTTATTTTTTTTTTTATTATTTATGAAATTCCTTTATCATTCCTTAACAATATAATCTGACAGATTCTGTTTTTTTTCCTGTTTTTCAGGACATATTAGTTACCTGTTTTATTAAGGTGATATATCTTAAACAACAACTCAACCACGTTTCTCATTTCAATGTTTTGTGGTATATTTTTGCAACTACCACAATGAATAATTTACTGTCAGATTAGGCACTATTAATAATATACTGTTGGTCACTGTAGGTCAAAGTTAATTTAAATCATAGGATCTTATAACTAATCCTTTGAGATTTTTTCCGGTATTGAAACGATTCTTTATCGGTTTTATTCTTTTGATTTTATTTGGATTTGTGAGCTTCTATCTTTTCTAGTATATGAAGTGTTTCATTGTTTTAATATTCATTCCACTTCTTTTCAATCTCTGTATTTTTTCCGACAGAAGACCATTACAAAATTCTTTTGTTTTCAGATAATTTTAACCTTAGCCAATTTTTTTTTATCATTCCTAGTCAGTTTAAAAGAGTTACTTTTATGTGTTAGGATGAAAAAAGATTATGCACATAATGAGGGAAGGATTCGTAGTGTATTTCGGTTTGTATTCCAATATTCTGAAAAATTTCCTCACAAATACTAAAAAAAAGTCTAGTGTTATCTTTTTGATGATTGCTAATTTATATTGCTTTCCTGATAATTATCTAGCTAATAACTGCCGAACGTTAATTACATATATGTCGTAAAGAAAGAAAATGCGACCAGTTAAAATATTGTATAAAATGCATTGGAAACAGTAGTTGGTTATGAGTGAGAAAAAGGATTTATATTTGTTACTTTTTTTTTTTTTATAGGCTCAATTTGATTTTTTATTGCTTTATTCCTTCCTGCAACAATATTCCATTTATAAATTTTGGTGCTGTTTATGTTGTTGCTGTAAGCTGTACCGTTTTTTCTTGCCATTCAAATTGAAAATGATAAATATCAATCAATTCATTCATTTTCTTAGCATCAGAGAGAAATGAACTAATATTATTTTATTATTATCAAAAGAGGGATTGTGTAATTCATTGTATAATTTCAATTTTAGAATTCATTTCAAATTAGGATTGGAAAATTTTTAGTTAATGTAATCCTCTTTCTCTTTTCATTTGCATGTAAATGAGATGGAATGACATTATGATAAATATAATGTAAATGAAAGAATGGATGCACAATTCTTTTCATTAAGTTTTGATTATTCCTGAATTTGATTTCAAGAATATTCAGAGTAGTATTCTTCAGAAAAATTCATATATTTTTATTTGTGCTACTGCGCTATTCAATGCATATTGTTCTATCATATCATTAGCTGAGTAGTATTTAACAAATGTCAATTTTGCATCAGCAATGTTAGTTATTATTTGAATTAAATTTTGTTATATGAGATAATTTCTTTTAAAACCAAGAATTTTTTTTTTTTTTAATTCTTGTTAAACTAATCAGTAATTAGGTTGTGAATAACTTGTGCAAAAACTACACAATGCATTTTATTTTAATTAGCAGTCTAATGCATGACTAGTAGTTTCAGTTTACTATATGCAATTTTTTTTATTTTAAATTTATTTTTCTTTTTTTGAGATGTCTCTTATTCATCTATTATCATTCTGTTTGTTAATGAGTTCATCTAAATTTGACTCTATAAAATATCAAATTTTTTTTTTTTTTTAATCAATTTGATCGTTATAAATAAATATTGTTATAATAACAGAGATCTTATGAATATATTAGATAAACATAATAATAATACATATAATCGATACATACAAAAATATTATAAATTTTACTCAACAAAATTTTATCATTTTTATAATGCACAGTTAATAAATACGAATGATTATTGCATATCTCATTTAATTTTCCTAATTTGCTATTATAAAAAAAATATGTATATATATTAAATTATTATCATTTATTATTATTGTTATGATCGTGACATTTTGAGAAATAGCAGTCGAGCAAGAATACGTTTAAAAGCTGTTCGAAAATCATTCGAAAAGACAGTATAAATGATAGGATTAAGTGCTGAATTCAAATAACCTATAATTTAAATGAAAATAAAATGATAATTTTAGTGGATACATTTTATATTATTATTTTTGTATAAATTAATAAAATTAAAATTTTTAATTTATTAATTTACTAACCTAACCAATTGGTAATAGATTCCAATAATATTGGTATTTCACATCGACATATTGGTCGATAAAGTGATACTAGAAAAAATGGTGTCCAACAGGCTACAAATGTTCCCGTAATAATAGCAAGCGTACGCCATGCTCTACGTTCACGTTTCATTTCTGCATTCTCTTTAAAACATCCTTTCCTTTTCCTCATAGAAGCATTCATTTTTTTCTGTTGATTTTTATCATTTGCTAAAAAAAAAAAAAAAAAAATTATCACGTAACAAATTTTTTTTTTTTTAAATATATGAATTTAATTTTAAAAATAAAATAATTAATAATTATCTATTTGTAAATATAATTTTTTTTTTTTAAAAAATTTTCTAAATTATTTTTTCCCTTACTTTTCTTTTCTTTTTTCTTCTTTCAATCAATTTCTTATCAAATATTTTTATATTCTTATAGCTAGCTAATAATCTTATGATTCAGTTGAGTGTAAATTTGATATGTCTAGTAGTTAATTCCCACTGGAATAAAATTTCATTATTTCAAACCAAGAAATTATGCATTCAATGAAAAATAGATTTTTTGAAAAAAAAAAAATAAAATAAAATAAAAATAAAAATAAAACTTGATTGTAGTGGTGTTTCAATTGAATCACATTGATGTTCTCCTTGAAATGTTTGATTAGTAGTACTAACTTGAATCATTTCATTTCCTTTGTTCAAATTTGCATTTGTTTCTGTTCTTGACTATAAATTTTGATAGTATTTGTTAAATAATTTATCAAAATGATATGATAAATCTTTAGCTATATGAGAATATATTACTCTTTTTTTTTAAATATTTTTTTTTTGTATTTTTTGTATTTTTTTTTTTTTTGCTCATTTCAATTTTGCTAAATTTATGAAAAATTCATAAAAAATGAAAAAAAAAAATCAGAAAAATTCATAAAAAATGAAAAAAATTATGAAAAAAAACAATTCATTAATAACATATAAAAAAAGAAAAAATTCATTTAAAAAAAAATAAAAAAAAAAAGTAATAACGAATGATTTTTTTGTTTCCATTTTTTATTTTAATTATTATTAATTTAAAAATAAGATTTTGTTTTTCTTTTTTTTTTGAAATTTTAAAATTAAGCAATAATTATACTTACCTTTAAAAGATTTCCACATTGCTCTTGAATTTTGGTATCACGTTGTGGATAATTAATAGTTTTACGACGTTCACGTTCACGTTTGAAACGACTTTTTGCCGTAAGCATAATTTTATAATAAATAGATATGATAGCACATAATGGAATGTAAAATGCAGTTGCTGTGCTAAATATCTGTAATTCATTTACACTTTTTACTTAATATTTGATAATTAAATATGCAAATTATATTTTATTAAAAAAAAAAAAACAGAGTTTGTACTATTTGAAAATAAATCTGTTTTAAATTTCTTTAATTTTTTTTTTTTTATTAATAATTAATTAACATATTAGATAAATTAGCACATATAAACATTTTACACTTCTTTTAGTTATATAAATATGTAATTTTTTTTTTTTTTTACAAATTTTTTTCTTTAATTTTTTTACATAGAATTAATAAAAAATTTAATTTACAAATTTTACTTATTACTATTACTTCTTTAATATCATACAATACAGTCTAACACTATCAACATTTCAACGATATCTAAATTTTTTTTTTTAATCTGCTTTTAAATATCTAAAAACGAAATTTTCTTAATTTCTAGAAAAATGATAAACAAAAGAGGAATTAGATGAAATTTAAATAAAATCATAAAATATAATTTATTGTCAATGGTCAAAAAAATTATCTAAAAATAATTTTTTATTTCCTTAATTTCTAGAAAAATGATAAACAAAAAAGGAATTAGATCAAATTTAAATAAATTCATAAAATATAATTTATTATCATTGGTCATTGATCAGATAAGTTATCTCTCATTTATTATAATTATAAATTGTTTCCTAATACAAAGCTCATTTTTATTATTTAATAATTTGGCCCAAATGCTATTCATAAAATCATGAAATAGAAATTGAACTAATCTTCCATAAACAAATAAACATATCACTTCCTTAGATAAACAAATAAACATATCACTTCCTTAGATAAACAAATAAACATATCACTTCCTTAGATAAACAAATAAACATATCACTTCCTTAGATAAACAAATAAACATATCACTTCCTAAGATAAACAAATAAACATATCACTTCCTTAGATAAACAAATAAACATATCACTTCCTAAGATAAACAAATAAACATATCACTTCCTTAGATAAACAAATAAACATATCATTTTTCCTTAGATAAGCAAAAAACAAAATTATTATAATATTTATCAATCAGTATCTCAAATAAAATAAATCTTTTTTTTTTTTAAATTAATTGTTATTCTTATTTATTTTAAAGTTTATTTGTTATGCTTCAAAAAAAAAAAAAAAAAACATTTATTCAGATGTGATTGCTTTAAATCATTTAAAAGGATCAATAAATTTTTTATTTTTTTATTTTTACTTTTTTTTTTTAAAACATATTTTTTTAATTACAAATCATTTTCTTTAACTTTACCCTCACAAGAAAAAAAAATTATATTTAAAAAAAAAGTTATTCAAAGAAAAAAAAAAAAGAGAGAAAAACATGTCATTAAAATCTATTTAAAATATTTTCCTATTTATTCTCTAATCTCATTTCTTTGTATCATCAATTCATGCATCATTTTTTTTTAACGAAAAAAAATTTTTTTTTCCATACATTTTGAAAATAATAAAAACAAAAACAAAAAATCATTTAAAAATATTAAAAAATTTCCCTATTAAAAAAAAAAAGAAAGAAAGAAAAAATGTTTGTTCATTAAAATGAAAATAAATTTTAATGATTATGTATTTTTCTAAAGTTTTAATTTGTCATCTAAATTTTTCTTTCTTCTCACAATAATATTTCCTTTTTTTGATGCTAATAAATGATAATAATTAAATTTAATAATAATAATTAAACATTATTTAGTTATATAAATAATTATTATCACAACATTACAATTAATTATCATTTGCTAAATGTGGAAGAGATAACTAATTAAATCTGTTTGCTTATGTAAAACAAATTTACCTGTAAATAAATAATTAAAAAAAAAAGAGGAGAGAGGGAGGGGAAAATTTAAAAGTATTAAAAGTAGGGGAAAGTTTAAAAAGTATTAAAAGTAGGGGAAAGTTTAAAAAGTTTAAAAGTAGGAGGGGAAAGTTTAAAAGTAAAAGTATATTTAAAAACATAATAATTTTTACCTGATAACTTATTTGTTGACTAATAAGGCATACATGTTGCTCTATTACCCGTCGATAAAAATCATTATCTTTCCAACCAAATATTGGCGCTAATGAAATAAGTAATGATAAGAGCCAAATAGTCCCTAACATGCCGAATATACGATGTGGTGTACGATTTTGTACATATGAAACATCCGTAACACTCCAATAACGATCTAATGCTGAAATAATTCATCAATTTTTCTTCGTTTTTTTTTTTTTAGAAAAAAAAGAAATTTAGGTACAGGAAAAAAACAAGAAGGTATTTTTGTAAATAAATAATCAATTTTTATTAGAAAATTTAGATTTACAAATAAATAATCAATTTTTATTGGATAATTTAGGTTTACAAATAAATAATCAATTTTTATTGGAAAATTTAGGTTTACAAATAAATAATCAATTTTTATTGGAAAATTTAGGTTTACGAATAAATAATCAATTTTTATTAGAAAATTTAGGTTTACAAATAAATATTTTCATTGGAAAATTTAGATACGGGTAAAAAAAAAGAAAACAAAAAGTTATTTTTACAAATAAATAATCAATTTTTATTAGAAAATTTAGATTTACAAATAAATAATCAATTTTTATTGGAAAATTTAGGTTTACAAATAAATAATCAATTTTTATTGGAAAATTTAGGTTTACGAATAAATAATCAATTTTTATTAGAAAATTTAGGTTTACAAATAAATATTTTCATTGGAAAATTTAGATACGGGTAAAAAAAGAAAACAAAAAGTTATTTTTACAAATAAATAATCAATTTTTATTAGAAAATTTAGATTTACAAATAAATAATCAATTTTTGTTAGAAAATTTAGGTTTACAAATAAATAATCAATTTTTATTGGAAAAATTTAGG